TTTAGGGCTAAGGTATGAATTGAGTTTTGTTTAGGGTTATTAGGGTTAGGTATGTGATGGTTAGGAGAAGGGTAAAGGTAAGGTTTAGGCTGTAGAAATGAATGGAAGTCAATGGAAAGTCCCCACAATAGGCTTTACTTGCATATGATTATTATTAGATCCTAATATAACGGAAAACATGACCATAAACTGTTTAGATGACTGTAAATCTGTTATTCTTTATTGTCTTTGCATTATTCCATATCTCTGAATACTTAATACATCCTGGAAATAATTAAACATATATTGGACTCAAAGGCAATAAAAATATAGGCGACATTAATGAGATGCTGTCATAGTTATGTGTGATTTGGCTAGAATGCTTTAGGTAATTGTCCAGAAAATCGATACTTCTGAGTCACAAGAAAAGCAAGGCAGCGGCTGCACAACGCCAACCATTTTATTAGTTATAAGAATTAGATTTGTATTTTAAGCTTTCTTCTTTAAAGTCAAGAATTGTTTTAGGGTGTGCTTTAGGGAAAGTCGAGTTTCTATCTTATGTTAGAACAGCTTCAGGTTTCTAATTTGTCTCCACTCATTTTCAATTTTCCTGGAGAAGAAGCAGCCTTTCTCCTCACAATCTCATTTGTTATCTAGGTCAGCAGTTGTCCCTGATCACAAGAAGAGCAATATGAACAGACACGACGCTATGCTAATGAATAAGCTCAAGATTTTTTAATGCTTTCTACAAAACAGCTTTTTACATGAGTGGCCCAACAACAAAATGTCGGTTCTGTCTTTAAGAGGACATTGAAACATCTTTTTTAATGTAGTAGTGTGCATGAAAAATCATGGGCAAGCCCTGGTTAAGTGAGCAACTGGGACATGCATTATTTTTACACAATATCTGGATTAGTTAGTTTGTTAATTTTCCTTTATTGCTGATTGTGGCTGTTGCAAATTGAAAATGTCAACAGACATTTTCAAATATCAAAATCAAATTCCATATTTTTCAGACTGGACAGAAGATCCAATCTGAAAAATATGGTCTGCAGCCTGGATCAAATGGATTACGCTCGTCATTACTGGGCTACATTACTTCTACTTTTGTTTGTACTGTGTTACCCAAAGGCCTCTCCTAATTGTGGATTCTTATCTAATTTTCATCACAGTGCTAACAGAATGGAGGAAAGTGTATTGCAGACACTGTGCGAGGTGGGCTTTTATGAGTTTGAATGGCAGACACCACAAAGCGGCGCCGAAGCTGGCGAATAATGAACAGACTATTAATTAAACCCATACCTGTCCTCTTTCTGCAGCGCATTCTTTTCACCTTTTTCTGCCTGTCTTTCTCCCTTTTTGTCTGACAGAGACAGTGATGGATACACGGACGGCGACAGCTGAGCTCGGCTGGATATCGTTCCCTGCCAATGGAGTAAGAACAATGTGGAAAGCTGAGCTGTATGTGTGCGTCAGTCCGTGTATGTGCAGCCACCCATGGGGAAGCAGTTTGACTACACTTTACAGAGGTCCATTAACGAGTCAGTCAAAATTTTAATTACAGTGCCAAGGTGACATCAATTAACCACTACTGATGCAGAAAGAAAATACATTCCAACAGATCAGAACTGTACCGCAAATGAGTCTGTGATGGAACAGAATGAAATGAAAAAAAAAGTTTTTTTTTTCTATGATTTTAATGTGATTTCTTTAAAATTCAGCCTGGCAACTAGCTGGTCACAATGGTCTGGGGTGTGAGTGTGTTTGAGGTGAGCAGCTCTAATTGTGATGAATGGATGTCCCTGTGCAGCAGAGAAGGTTAGAGCAGAGAAAGAGACAATGAAAAAGGGAGGAAGAGGATGGGAGAAAATTGGGAAGGAGTGATAGAGAAAGTTTAATTTGTGTCTGGTTTTAGTAAACCCATTAATCATCTTGCTTTCTTACTGGCTCTTCCTCTGCTTCCTTCCCATCTTGCACCCCGTTGCCCCGTCTTCGCTCAAACATTGCCTAGTGGGAGGAGGTGAGCGGCTACGACGAAAACCTTAACACCATCAGGACTTACCAGGTGTGCAATGTATTTGAGCCAAGCCAAAACAACTGGCTGCTCACCACGTACATCGACCGGCGGAACGCACAACGCATCTACGTGGAGATCCGCTTCACAGTACGGGATTGTGCTTCCATACCAAGTGTCCTGGGCTCCTGCAAAGAGACGTTCAATCTTTACTACCTGGAGACTGACAGAACTGTGTCAGAGAGCGTCAAAGGGGTGGAGTATTGGGCCAATGCCCCGTTTTTAAAGGTATCCTCAAACAATCTCAACCTTTTCCACATAAGAAATGTGAAAAAAACCGAAGTAGGTTGTACCTTTCATTCCACGAAAGTCAAATACACCAGTCGGGCTCAACATGATGACCTAATCATGCTCTGGTCCCTCTAACTGGCAAAACCAGTCAAGGTGTGATCTCTGCTAGGTCAACAACAGTGTCTGCAGCACATTTTTAAATCCTGTAAGGTGCTAGTTGGGGGCCTCCATTTTATTGAAATGGTTTATTTAGCACTTTCTACAAATGCTACATTGGATTGACATCCTAAGTATTTGGAGGTCAAGTGAATAGTTCAAACTTACATGTTCCACCAACCATCCTTAGACAATTTTTACTTTATTGTAAGGAGTGTTTCTCTACTAAAAGAAGCCACAACCTATCATTCCCTTGCAGCTATGTGCTAAAAACTGTGATGCTCTCTGTTTTCCAACATCTTTCTTTCACTACCAGCATTCATTTCCTCAGTTACTTTAGCTACAGAAAATCACTGAACCATGAGTTGTTTCCTCCAGACGTAGATCAATGAGACTTGGCCGTATGACCTTGTTACCAGCTCATCTTTGGGTCATTTATTATAATGTCTAATTTGAACACAATAAAGCATCACAAGTAAGAAAATACTGTAAAAAAGTAAAGATAAAACTATAAAAATTAAATGCTATTAAAAGAGAAGCAAAACAGCAGATTAAAAAAACATTACTGTAGAAAACCTATTTAACCTTCCTGGAGTTTTAGTGCAAAGCTCAGGACGGGTGCGGCAGATGTCACTGTCAGACAGCGGATAGGAGTGTCCCGCCAGACCGTCAGTTCTCAAAACTACACAAAAATCTTGTAAAAGCAACTCCACTGGACCGTGTATAGAGTGAAAATTTAAGACCACAGGAGGTTTTAGCTGCATCTATTTATGTGTTATGTCAGAATTGTCCATGACTGCACCTTGATGCACCCAAAAATAGGTGCAATGATGAAATTATTACTAGTTTTTATTCACATCACCTATTAGTGTTTGATATCTTATGCCTGATTGGTGTATATTAGCAGTGCTGATGTGCATCAACACTGCTAATATACCTTTGCAAACTCATCAATGCTCAGTCATCTCTTTAACCACCATATTGGATTTACTCTTCCAGGTGGACACCATTGCAGCTGATGAGAGTTTCTCCCAGGTGGATTTTGGGGGTAGGCTGATGAAGGTGAACACTGAGGTTAGAGGTTTTGGGCCACTCTCCAAGGGCAGAGGCTTTCACTTGGCTTTCCAGGATCTGGGTGCTTGCATGTCCCTTTTGTCAGTTCGAGTATTCTACAAGAAATGTCCAAGGACTGTACAGAACTTTGCTCTTTTCCCGGAGGTATGGAAAAGAATCCCCCCAAAAAATTATCTTTCCATTCCAGCTTGTTAAAGGGTGAGCTTGTTTACTCAATCTTTTTGTTTTTCATCCAGACGCTGACAGGAGCAGAGTCCACATCCTTGGTTATCTCCCGAGGAAGCTGCATTTCAAATGCTGAGGAGGTGGACGTGCCTATAAAGCTCTACTGTAACGGAGATGGAGAGTGGATGGTCCCGATTGGCAGCTGCAGCTGTAAGGCAGGCTACGAACCAGAGAATTTCGACGTGTGTCGAGGCAAGTCTTTGACTTAGAGAAATCACGATGCCTCAGACAAAAAGGTTTTTCAGAAAATAATTCTGAAGTTGCTGGCCCAGGAAATGCTTGCATTCTGCACATGCAATTTAACAAGGCAGAGTGACAGCAAATCAATATTGTGCAAACACGTTTCCAATATTCTGTCATAGTAATGGCAGCAATCAGCATCTGAAAGCAGCAAGAGATGACAGATCATGCAAATGGGCTTTAACTACTCAAAGTATTGCTTTAATCATACATGCATCATCAACATTATTACCAAGCCTTTATTAATAGCCTAGCTTGGTTTACAAAATATTATTATAATAGCCTCATCAGGCTGCATGGTTATGCTGATTCTATTAAAAATGTGAATTTTTTTCACAGTTCAGTTGGACAAACCATTGCTTTTTGGCAGTCCCAGCTGAATGATTCCATGCACATATATTGTAACTACACAATACCATGTATTTTTGCCCGGGGGTGGGGGGGAAGCACGCAAAGCACCATATGTTCATATTTGCCGAGCCACCCTCAGATAAACGTGGCACAAAAATAACTCCTCTTCCCTCAGTGTTCCAGATATCTTCACCTCTTTTTCCTCCTTTTTATATCTGGCCTCCTTCCCCATTTCCTCTCAGAAATAGTACTCATCATTTCTTATTCTCCCCAGAGAGTCTCATCCATTTTTTCTATGAGTGTGTGTGTGTGTGTGTGTCTTGGGGGGAGGGAACTGTGATGTATGTTCATGTGATGAAATAAGTGAGACCTCTTCATCCCATGTTAATTACTTTAGCGCTTTTCTGCCAGATCAGTCTGCTGCAAATTAGAAGACGGACAGACAGAAAGGAAGCAGACTGATGCATAGTATCTAGTCTGCATCTTGTTAAACGCGTTTGACTGAAATGCTCGTCAGGGCGCTGATGTCAGTTTGCGTTTTGTATTGGGAACATTTCTCATCATGTGACATTTGAGCGTTTGAATGACGTAAACCAATCATGATTCGTGGGAATGATTGAACCTTTTACTTTGAGTCTGATCCAAACACAGTAAAGCATCGAGTATCAATTACTGTAACTGTAAAGGTCTTTAGTTTTGCTGTCAAGTAAGCCAGCAAGGTGTCTCAAAGTAATGTCTTGCTTCTTCTAAACAACAAAAAGTGCTTTTGTTGTTTAGGAAATGGTATAATATTTTTCAAAAAATATTTGATAAAACCTTAAGTTTAGAAAAAGTAAAGGTGAAACACTGTGATTAGAATTCAGCTACCTAAGTTTGTTCATTTAAAATAAGTTTATTTTAATGTGAATTGTTACATACAAGTTAGTAACTGGTGTAAAAATTGTGCACAAAAGACAAATTAGCAGTTTTTTTTTCACTTCGTTGCATTTTCTGTTTCCACTCCTGCTTCCGTGTTCAGGCTCCACATTCATCTTATGCTACTTGTCTGTTAATGATTGTTGTTGAATTTTTGTAAGTTTTGCTTTTAGAAAATCCTCAAACTGCACGGTTTAACAGCTCTTTGCTCTGCTTTCAAGACAGCAAGTTCAAAGGATAAAAAGGCTAATCTGTCAAACTCGCTGATAACAAAACCATCTGGACAAAACTAACAAATGAAAATAAAAACATAGAAATCATACAGTATAGACAAAATTGAAAGATTATTGAAGTACATGTAACTCAAACTACTCTGTAGTGAAAAATATTTGCTATGATTACCTGTATTGGATAAATGATGTCTGCAAGTACTCTTCCAAAAGACAACTCTGTTTGTGCAAACTATCCAAAAGTAAGAGAGCATATGTTTGTTTCAGCTACCAACCATGCTGTGCTTTTTTTTTTTGTAAAATTAGGCTGTCCAAATAAAAACTCCTGCCAAATTTAAGGCTTAATATCACTGCTTCTGAGATGGGATTAGATTGCTTTATCAAATGATATAACTCTTCCTTCAGTCGCTGAAGGATTTCTTTTTACGCGTTCACTGTTAATTTAGTGTAAGCTGACACTCAGAAGTCATTTTTCATTTAAACTGATTGTCTCTCGTTTGAGTACTCAAACTAAAAACAGCCTCATCTGACATATCTCTGATTTCTGACGCTGTGTCAGCATACACCTGCTTGATGCTCTTATCTCCGAAAAAGCGATTTACGGTGCCGAGGGACAGTGTTTGTCTTGTCTGTCTTTCCCAATCTGGCATCTTCGTGGTTGGCTTCCTTTGCCAATCAGCTGATAAAACCTTGGCAGGAAGCTGGACTCACTACTGGAACAGATGGTCATCTCTTTGTGAGGGTTTGAGCATGTCAAGGCACAGAGATGGTGTTTATTTTGCACCAAATCCGCATATTGTGCAAACCATACGGCGCAACTGGCTCGTGATCAAAGTCATGTGTGTGCATATTCAAACGTGTGTTTTTGTATTTATTCATGGAAAACGGAGCAGTGTGTGTCCATACATTTTTTTAGAGTAATTTGCAAAACAAAAATGTAGTAGTTTAAGTATGCTTATCCCATATGTGCATAAACAGCTTGAAAAAGTTTGAGATAAATTTACAGACCCCCTTGGATGGACCGGTTGTAAGTAAAATGAATAATCCAATTTAGGTATTCTGATATTAAAATATGGAATAGCTCATTTAACCTGCACTCACCTGCTTTTCATCTGGGGTTTCACTAGTTTGACATATAGCCACACTTGGATATGTACAGATAGCTGCATGGAGAGGTAAATAATAGAGGGAACAATACTTGTTTCCATGGTGACAGCCCTGACGTGTTTGAACAAGGTTGGATGAATAAATGACCTTGACGATCCAGATGCCTATCTGCCTTTTCACGAGACAAAAAAAAAGACAAAGTGATGCTTTGCAAGAAACGCAGAGAACATGTGGAAGATGGTGACCAAAATATAACTTTTAGGCTAAAGTGTGACAGAAAACTAACAATGAAACAATTGATGAAATGCCATTAGCAGGTGGCAGTACTATGCTTTGGAGAAGTATGGGTAGGAAAGCTTCAAGAAAACCAGACTTCCAACAGGACAAAAACCCTGAACAAACACCAACAGTGAAACCAGAAAGTTGTAGATCCAACCATGTTTATATGTTAATGGATCAATCAAATTTCAACCCAAGTCTAATCTGTGACTTAAAAACTGAGGATCATAGATGTCCTTCATCCTTTCTGAGTAAGCACACACTATTTTTCAAAGGAGAAAGGACTGAAAATGCTGTCTAGATGTGCAAAGCTTGTAGAGAATAGAGAGACCTGCAGCTGTAATCTCAGGAAAAAGGTGGTTGTGTAATATAATGTCTCTGAGGGGATAAATAAGTGCCAAGCAAGAAGAAAATTACAGTTGCTTTTATTTTATCAAAGAGCAGAAGAAAACAAACAAACAAAGGATTTAAAAAGTAAGTTTTACTTAAAAAGTGCAACTTTTTATTGGTTTACTATAATGTCCCACATTGGAATATGTGTGTTTAATCTGAAGGAATGGAAAATGGATATCAGTTGTCTACAATACAGTTTGCACTGAAACAGATATTATATTAGAAATTGAAACTGTCTGTATTAACAAAACGGCTTAGTAAGAAGAAAAAAATTGGTAATGTTTTTGTCCATATTTCTCAGCTCTACGCTAAATATGTCTTACTCCTTTCACTTGACAGTTATGCTTTTTATTGCACATAATTCTAGTGAAATTATTTGTAATTTCACTTGTAATTTGTGGCTATGATGCAGAGAAAATGTGAAAAGTTTCCAGCAATATGAATCCAAGACCCTGGATTATTTAAATGGCAGTATTGTTGTAGTTTCATAAAGCTCTGTGACTGAGTGCAACATAATACAGTGTAAAATCAGACCTCTGGGAATATGCTCCTCTCGTAAAAATCAACTAAAAACAAAAGCATCAGCTTGTTGTTTCGTTCACGCTATGATGACATTGGGAGCAACAAATGAAAACATTGATAATTGAGTTTCTTTTCACACTTATTCTGTTTTCCTTGTTTGTTTTTATTGCCATTTCAGTCCTGACTCTTGCTTTCTCGGGACAAATCGCTTCCTTTGTACATTATCCCCGTGTCTGAAACCATGCCATGGTTGACAATCAAGCTTTGTTACAGAGAAGGAAGAGAATTGTACCTAGTTAAAGACCAAATTCAAAGTTGGAAGATCAAATCCTCTTTGTAAGTAACCATGTTGTAGTTTCACAGCAGCATGGTCAGGGAGGTTTCAACTGAATATGAAAGCACAAGATTAAACATGGAGCAGTATTTTTGCCAGACCATGTGAAGAAGTGGGATTATGTTTGCATAAAAAGCATTTTTGTTGGGGAATGTGTGAACTTTGACTCTGGTTGCAGTAGTTGATGCACATTAATGAACTTTGCGTTCCTAAAATGGATACAACTGCTTCAAATAATCTTATTTCTGCTCCATGTGGTAGAGATAATCACAAAGTTCCTCTGTTGATATTTTTTTATGCTGTACCACTTTTAAAGGGCTGCAGGGACTTATTAACTGGTAGCTTCTTTTTAAAGTCAATCATTCATGCGTTTCCCATAATTTATTTTAAACTCATTAATATTCCCATTATAATTTTCTGTGTGTGGTGGTTTGTCTCATTCCTAGTGGACTACAGGATCTATAATCAAACATGTGACTGAGTAAGAAGCTAATGTTCTTGGTTCAGCTCAAGTCTCTGAGTAAATCAACAATTCCTCCCAATGGATCGAAACACGAGGCATCCATGCAGAACTGGAACGGAAAACTTATTATTTGTATCTGAATTCCCTTAACAGCAATGCATATATTTAGTTGTATTGAGAACAGGTGTGTGCCCAACTTTTTACGCAGTCACAAGAGGTTATTATTTATAATTGGATAAATGCCTCTGATGCTTGCGATGTTTTTGCTGCATGCAGACAGAAAGCATTGTGTTGCTAACAGCTAAATGATGCAGCACTTTCAGACTATGCTGACCCATGCCCTGAACTCAGCAGCAAATGTAGCCCATTTGGTGTTCAGTCTGTGACTGCAATGACTGTGAAGTGTTTTCTGTCCCTTTATGCTAGAACTCCAGCAACTAGCATCCTTTTGAAAGCTTATAGAGATTTCAGCTTGCTATTGTGCCTCAAATAAATAAAGTCTGGTTGCACAAAGCTCCTTTGGCATTACTTTAGCTTTTTGTGGGTGGATTGCAAAGTGTTGAAATTTAAAAAAATGAACCAATTAAGTAATTTCAATGAAACAGAAAGTGGGTTATCAAATTGGTCATGGTGTAGAAAAGATAAGTTGTGCTGGATTTTCTTGTCCAGCTGACGGCACAAAATTAGAAACATTGTGATGCTGGAGATGAACAAACGGTTGATTTATCCAAAGTGTCAATTTATTTTGTTGATTTTTTTCATTTATAGACTGGTTACAACAGTGCTGTAACCTGATCAATGTTTAACCAATTTTGGATAAGGTTGGTTAATAAACCTGAGAATTTTCAGAAATCAGAAGAAATTTAGAAAATATATGCCAATATGCTAAGAAGGATGGGATGAAAGACGTATTAAGTTTGTTGCTCTCCTCCCAATATTAAGATCCCCACTCACTATTTTGTAAAAGGTTTAGAAATTTTACATATACTAGTGTAATTTTAATGTTTCCCCTGCTTACATTTAGTTAGAATTTTTCTATTATCTGTCTTGGCTCAGAATTATCTGTAGAGAATCATATATGCAAATACACCACTACCAATAATTGGATAAAGGGGACATGCTGTGCAAAATTCTCATTTTGCACATTTTTGTACTTCCTTTTGGGTTTCTACTGCTTCTACAAACAGCCCAAGCATTTAAAAAACAAAACAAAACAAATAAAAAAGTAAAAGTCCAGCTGTGTTTTGGCAATAAGTTAATGTCTTTTAGTGTCTGAATAATGAGCCATTTCAAAAACCTCCGGAAAGTGATGTTGCAAATCAGCAGCAGGCACTGCCCCATTACTTAGCAACCCCATCAAATCCCAGCCTGTTACTTAGCAACCCAAGCTGAGCTCCAGCACGTTTGGTCAGCTAGTTTTACTGCTGTATGCGCTGTACAATGGCTGCTGGAAAAGACAAGTGTGTTCTCGTTGACTTACTATTCAGAAACCACTTGCTGCATTCTTGTTGGTTGTGGAGGAGGCTCTACTTATGCTTTTCAAATATGTACGGTTTCATGGTTGTGCGTCTGTTTGCAGACATTTCCATGTATGAGTGCAAACGCTGATTTGAGGGGGAGGGGGCAGCAGCAGCTTATTTGGATTTAAAGTGTTAAGTGTCCCTAAAGCAGCTAATTTTGGAAGGAGTTCAAAGTGGCAGAACTGACCAAACAGAAATCTCATTATATATAAATGTCTTGTTAAAAAGTGTAATGAACATGTTTTGTATAGCCCAAATATCTTTTCTAACCTGATCGAGGAAGGATTATATCTCACCTTAAAGTGTCCTTTGTTATACTGAAGACACACAATATATTTCGTCACCATTACTACATTTCATACACGTCAACATGCTTCCCTGTATAATTTCAGATGCACACAATAACGCGATGCCAAACGTCAATGTTCAGCGGTCCAAGTTAAGTTTTGCTTTGTAATCTCTTCACAGCTTGTCCTCAGGGCACCTTTAAGTCGTCCCAGGGGGCAGGATTATGTCAGCAGTGTCCGCTCAACAGTCGCTCCACCATCGAAGCTGCCACCCTCTGTGGTTGTCGGAATGGATATTACCGTGGAGACATGGACAAACCAGAGGACATGTGTACCAGTGAGTCAACACGTATAATTACACTCTCAGTGCACCTTTCAATAAGGTGTCAAAATGACTGGTCCAGGCTTACGATCCCAGCGTATCACAAACTGACAACACCGGCAGTCGAATATTTCATAATTAAATGAAAATCCAGCATCCACCTTGATTTATAATTCTGCCTGTAAATGTATGCACCTCAGACGGAGAGCCGAAACACACACGCACACACACACACACACACACACACACACACACACACACACATTCTTGTTAAGGGATTTTGGGAGTAGTAAGTAATAATGTCGCCACACAGCTCAGGCTCTCCATTCCAGTTGAGTATGTGTTTATTGTGTTGAAGAGTCTGTGCTGCAATGCAAGACGAAGCTCCTCTCGGCTCCTCAGAGATATAGTGTAAGTAGGTTAAAACATGAATCATTTTGGACTCATACTCTGAAACTGTGTACTGTGTGCAGCTGTACAAAGTATGTAATCACTCATGGGTTTTTGTGCTGTTCCTGGTGACCTGAATACATCTTCACATTCTGAGGGATTAAAAACAGCTCTGGTTCTGTCATATTTTGGATCTTTTGTGTTTTTAAAGATTTACAGACCTCAGAAAATACAAACAAAGCCTTCAATGGTATCATTTATGTCACTGTCCGCATTGAATTTGATATAAACTGGTGTTTGTGTAACTCATTAAATGTGTAATTTGCACATTTTCGGAGCCGTTATAGGCCAGTTTATGCGGCACACGTTGCTGGTACCTCAAGAACCCCATTTTGCCGTCAGAGCTGCTTTTTTCTTTGTGTCCTAGATTCAACGAGGTGGCTCAAGCATTCCTCAGACAACTTTAATATATTAATATATTAACACGGCAGCCTTGTGATCTTCCTGGAGATTTGTTGGCTGCGCATTTTTAACATAAATCTCCCATTTCATCATGTCTCAAATGATCTCAATTGGATTGAGATCTGGTGTCTGTGGCGTTCATTGGCATACTGTGGTTACAAGAGATGGAAATGGTCAGCAGGTATATTGTGGTGTTTAAATAACTGAGTTGGTATTTATTGGCTGAAAGTGTGCCAAACTGTTTCACCACCACAAACAAAGTTGATACCAAACAGGGTAGATCTGTGCTCCTGTGTTTTCTAATCCTCTACAATGTTTTTCCAATCTAGCATTTAGGATTTTGGTGAGTCTTTATCAGTTGTATCAGTTTTTAAACAACAAGGAAATGCCTGAAACGCCAAAACTCAAATCCTTGGTTTATAGAGTCATCCCACATCTGTTCCTCACTGGAATCCAATGTCGTTCTCCAAACTTTATCAATATTCCACTAATGTTGAAAAAACACAATTTTGGAATTGCGGTGTTTCCATTAAATAAAAAATAAGTCATTAAAAAACATGCCGCACCATGTTCCTCCAACTACTTCCTGTTTTCTTCTTCTTCATGGCAGACAAAAATAGAAAAATACACCAATGCATAAAACACCATGAACACCAGTAGCATCTCTTTTTAACTATTAAAAACTAAATTTTTCACATTTTATGGATATTATGATTCCAGTTTTTTGGTCAATTCCCCATACCCATGTCCACTTATTTTTTTATGTTTGATTAATTTGAAATATTTAAACATTTGAAGGAAAGAAGTTAGTTTTTACTTGTTCAATGTAATTACAAATTTTAAGTTTTGATATTGGCTGCACAGTTGTGCAGTTGGTGGCATCAAATGTCTTTCCATTACAAATGTGCACAAAACTTTGCTGATATTCCGCTAACGTTTAAAAAACACAATTTTGCAATTGCGGTGTTTTCATTAAATAAGAAATGCAATTAAAATCACATGTGCATAAGTTTGTAATAAGTCAGTAAAAAAAAACCATACACCACCATGACCCTCCAACTACTTCCTGTCGTCGTCGGGGTTTGCGCCAGCGGCAACATCTGGTTGTTGGTCATGTGACTCGTGTGATGCAAAAAAAAGTGTCTATTTCAGATTATTCAAAATAAATTTTAATATGGCCAATAAAACACCTCATCCTGGCTAGTTCTTTTTAGAAATGGTCATGTTGCCAGTAAGCTTATTCATTTTTGAAATGTCAAATTGGTCCATGGAAACACAGCTATTCTTCTTTTTCTGGATTCTTTTGTCCGTTCCTCTGATATTTACTGTTATTTAATTATTAAAGAAACTATTCCTGAACAGAGTTGACTCTTTCATAGAGTTTGTTGTAAATTGCTGTTTATTTTTTTTACAGCAGCGGTGCTTTATGAAGGCAAACATTTCTCAATTCAATACCACTGAAACAGATTGTAGATGGATTCTCAAAATGTTCTGTAGGTGGGTCAGGGTTTTATTACAGCAGAAGCGGTACAGAAAAAGCCTAACCTCAACACTTGTAGCACTCTTAAAATGATGACGATGGAGAGAAAAAAAATCTAATTTGCCAGTGAGAGCGTGTCAGATGTCAAGCCACTCATCCTGTGTAGCTCTCTGAATTACTTCAGTGCTTTCTATTCAGGGGCAAAAACAAATCAGGTTACAGTTAGAAATAAAAAAAATCAAGAGGGCAAACTACAAAAACAGTGGGATTAAACTTAGAAACACAGGAGGGATTCAGAGTCGGATACGAATCAGGTCACCGGAGTGGAAGAGGGGCTGCACAGTTTGTAGGTTGTTGTCTGACGAAAAAAAATTCCAGTGGTAACATGCCTCACCGGCTGCGGAGGTGGTTGGGTGCATCGTCTCTCAGCAGGTAAGTGAATATAATTTAAATTCTACAGTCTGCAGTCTGAGCAAAAAAGAAAAACACAACAGATGTGTCCGTCTCCTACGAGTCTCCATTGTTTCAGCAGTGTGGCTAGATGCTGTGCTTTTGTGGCAACTTTGAATTTTAAAATGTTTTCAGTGGTTATTAAATGAATACATATTTATGCATAAAAAGGTGAACTCACCATGTGGCTTACCTGGACCTTAAATATGTCATCACCTTCCTAAAATAATGGCCTAACTCAATTTTTGACGAGTGTTTTTCTTTTTTTGCCTAAAAAAATCTTTTGTAAAAAAAAAAAAGAGGTGGTGATATTTTTTTTTAAAATTGACGTGACAATATGCATAACTGTAAATACACTGTATGCACTGCTTAGATGTTTTAACCCCTCGCTGTTTGTACTTTGATTTTGCTGCACATCTGTCCTTGGGTGTCTAAGAATTACATACAGAGACGTATTCTTCAGGGTCGTCTCATCTGATGACTCTGGTTTAGCATACACCACGGCCGAACATCCATTTCATCTTAAGCGCTCTTGTTTCATCTGTGTCACAGTCGGTGTGATGTGTTTGGACTGTCAGCGGGAAGTGAGCCCCTCAAGGCTTAACCTTGTGAAAACTGCTTGAGCTTTGAAGACGTACTTTGACACTGAGTGAAAACTGAGACTGACAGACTGGTAAAGGACAATGAACATTTTATTAATGTTAAAGAAGGTGTTGGCTTAAATCCAAGAGTTGCAAGAATTAGCTGATTTCACGGGACGGTGATGACTAAAAAGTAAGTTAACAAACTGGTAATGCCATTTTTAGTGGTCACAGTGAAGAAAATAATCAATAATCATGTCATTTAAGATTTCAAGTTAATTATTTAGTTTGGACAACAATTATGGACTGGAAAATTTCATGAGTAATAACTTTTTTTTTGTTTGTATTTTTACATCATAAAAAGGTAATCTTCAATTAGGCTGGTTAATTAAAGGTCCAGAACAACTAGTAATGAACAAATTCATTTTTTTTCCAGAAAAATAAAAGTCTCCATCTGATTGTTTGTGACCCCAAGCCAAACTAATTTTGACGGAAAAGCATAAGTCTAATTAGAAATTAGGACATTTTATCTTAAACTTAATTAACTTAATTACTATTCTCGCCTCTAAAATCAAATTGCCTTTGGTTACATACATGGAAAAAACAAAAACAAATCAAATGCTGCAAACATTTTGTGAGTGTGTACTGCTCTGTGTTCCAGCTTGTTGATTATTTTGATCATTTTGCTGTTCCAATTAATGACAAAACTGTTGGTCTCCTGCCTTAACAAATTAAGCATTTTGCGCCAAAGGTTATGATAATTAATGACTGTACTGTCTGGTACCAAACGAATACAGTTTGTTTTTAATTTGTATAACAAGCTGTTTGACTAGTCAGTTTTAGTCGTCTCTTTCTGAAGCTCTACAGCATAATAAAATCTAATTATTTACACAAATGTAAACCATTCTTTATTTATTACCAAGTGGTTAAAACATATTCATACTTTTTTCTCTTGATCAAAGCACAGGGAAACCATCCTAACCCTGATGTGTTGAGAAGATGTTTTGATTATTTTGTATCTTTTTAGAATTCAATTTTGTCAGTTTTGTTTCATGCTTTAAATTTGTTTTGGTGCAGCACAGTATTGTGACTATATGTAATAGTCATTATATTGGTGTGCGTAATATTAACCTTGCAAAAGACTTTTGCATGCTGGTTAGATATTCAGCCTGTTAAGTGGAGATCCTGCAGTAAATTTCCACCCCTGACGGAGCAAAGTGTCGAAGATGCTAAAGGTCAGCGACTGTTGGAAACCTGGAAGAGTGAGAAAAATATGGATTTGTTGTTTTGCTGTCCCAGTAACCTTGACATTACAGGATTTTCCATCATGCAGCCCAACTTCTCTGCATTATGCCTGTATTGTGCTATGATAAAAGTCTAAATTACCTTCTAGGCTGTGGAGATTCTGGGTTTTGGTGACCTGTCCTTTTCCTCTTTGGTTCTAAACAAGAGAGTGTTTGTACAAAAAAAAGAAAAAGGAACCATGTTGCTGAATTGCTTGACCCCGATTCCCGTTTCCTCTGTTTGATGCTCAGTCCCTGATGGCTCAGAACACAAAAGTCTACTCTTCCTTCAGAAAAGACAGAACAAGGCTTCAGTTTTCCCCAAGAGGAGACTTAAAGTGGCAATTCAGTGGGCACAATTCTTTTGCAAGATTTGACAGCAAATTTACCGTTTGGTTATGTTAGCTTTTGATAAAAGATGAACTGATGAGGGTTTAAATGTTTGACCTGCCATTTGGGATTTAAGCCAATGCTGATTTCTCAAAAAGAAAGTTTCCTCGGTGAGATATCATTATTTTTTATAAGGAAGATCAGAGTGGCAGAGGAGGAGCTGCAGATGTTGTTTTAAAATAGACAACATGATTACAGTGTTGACTTTATAAATACCATATTTTTCAGACTATAAGCCGCTATTTTTCCCCCACGCTTTGAACCATGCGGCTTAAGATGAGATAAAATAAGATATTCCTTTATTAATCCCACAGTGGGGAAATTTACATTGTTACAGCAGTATAAAGGACAGAGCAGAACCAATATAAAAATCTATATCTACACAGTAAAATCAGGTGAATATAGAAAGTACTGAAACAGTATTGTTTGAAATATAAATAAATAAATTCCAGGTTTATTGCCTATAGTAAAGAGTAGTGGACTACTGAGAGCAGCGGGTGTTGTACAGTCTGACGGCGGCCGGAAGGAAAGACCTACGGTATCTTTCCTTCACGCACTGATAGCCCGGTGCGGCTTTTCTGTGGATTTTCCTTCAACCACCAGGGGGCTCGTTAGCAGGAAGTGAATCATTGGATGTCAAAATTTCAAATCAAAGAAGAAAGTGCTGATTTTCATTTAGAACAAGCATATGCTAGCAGCAGGAACGTCAGAGAAATGTTTTCAAACTCGTACCCGCTCATCATGTAAACAACATGTAGAAGTTCATATGATGCAGCTTTTAAGTTGAGGGCTGTCGATCTGGCAGAGCGATAGCTTGTGTCCATGTGGAAAACCGAGAGCGGCTTATATGTACGTTTCCAGTAAAAAAAACTAAAAAAAACATTGTGGGTGTGGCTTATAGTGAGGTGTGCTCTAAAGTCCAGAAAATACGGTCGTTTCTAGCATTTTTCAATAGTGGTTAGCATTACTAACCTGCAACTGTGCTGCACCCAGTTCAGCCTTCCTGTTTTCTGCTGTGAAGGCGGACTGTTTGCTAATGAATCGGCTTTTAGCAAGACGAAAAATATACAAAAACTCACCAATTTTTTTTACATGCATCAGTTGTAGGGCTGTTGTAGACGAATATTTTAGTAGTCAAGTAATCTGTCGATTATTCTTACGATTAATCGAGTCATCAGATAAAAATTTTTTTAAAATAAAATATTGGTAAATCTTCCATAACACTAGTGTTGTTATCGGATATCAATATCAGTGCATTTTTTCATATTTGAGGATCCCGAACAGTTACCTTTTTGGGTAACACTTTATTTGAAGGGGGGTGAATAAGACTGACATGACACTGTCATAAACATGTCATAACACCTGTCATGAACATGAATAAGTCTTCATGAAGTTTTATGTCTGTTGGCATAAAATGTCATTCGGTAAATTATGACACTTTTAATACAAAGTTGACATTATTCAAATTGTCTTTGTTATGACAACTTGACATTAACCAGGAAATCATTACTGTTTAAACTTTACCTTTAATAACATAAAGTTACCTCATTTTTAAAGTGCAATCAGTAATACTTTTATAACAAATTTAGATCAGTAATGATTTCTTGGTTAATGTCAAGTTGTCAGAACAAAGACATTTTGAATAATGTCAACTTTGTATTAAAAGTGTCATAATTTACCGAATGACGCTTTATGACAACAGTCATAACTATTCATGAAGGCTTATTCATGTTCATGACAGGTGTTATGACATGTTTATGACAGTGTCATGTCAGTCTTATTCACCCCCCTTCAAATAAAGTGTTACCCCTTTTTGTAGTTTAGAAAATTAACCAGTAACAATAATAGCTCACTTTCTAAGTTAACCTGAAGAAAAGTTATACAAAGATCTGAAATTATATTCAATTTAATAATAAAGAAATTAATATATATATACACACACACTTTTGTCATGCTACCCCCCCAAGAATTTAAAACTACTTTCACCCCTGTGTATATACAGTGGCGGAGCTAGACTTTTAAAGTTGGGGGAGCCAAGGGGGCTACCTCTGGGGGGCCAAAATTTAAAATGTGTGTGCGCACATCTATATATCTATCTAGTCAAGATATATATTAAAAAATTCCCCTCTCACCCTCCGTGGGTGGTCTCTTTCATCCTCTGAGCTCGGGTCCTCTACCAGAGGCCTGGGAGCTTCAGGTTCTCCTCCAGTATCTTGGCTGTGCCTAGAACTGCACATTTCTGGACTGAGATGTCTGATGTTGTTCCTGGGATCTGTTTGAGCCACTGTTCCAGTTTGGGGGTGACTGCCCCGAGGGCCCCGATGACCACAGGCACCACTGTGGTCTTCACCGCCTGGAAGGTGACCAACCAGCTGCAATATTAGAAGCATTTTATGAAATGAATAGCAAGAAAGTGAGATAAATATTTTAAATTTAAAGCGTTTGCTCAGCATACAACAAGATTATAACACCATGTCTGCCTGCTATGATTGTTTAGAAAAGAAAAACACAATGACACATCTCCTGTCCTGTACTGGCTTACGTTTTTAAGGCCTGTGTGAGAATTTGTATTTTGTGAATGGCAAGCACAGATGGCAGTCATCTTTTGAAAATGCTTTGTGAAAAAAATGTTACCATTATCATCAGTAATGTAAAATCATGGGTTTTACATTCGCAGTGCCTTAAAAGCACATTTTAGTATCAAATAAGGGGATCTCTGACAACTGAAAAAGTCCAACACTACAAACATGTATTTTCCTTCCTCATTGACTCATATTTCCCTTTCAATTCCTGTTTTCAGGCGTTCCCTCTGCTCCGCGCAATTTGGTCTCAGTTGTGAATCAGACGTCGGTGATCCTGGAGTGGAACTCGCCACGTGACACCGGGCACCGTGACGACCTGTCATACAACGTCGTGTGCCGGCGTTGCCACAGCAGCGAGCGGCGGGCATGCCAGCCATGCGATGACAGCGTGGTTTATTCTCCAGGCAAGGAGGCGTTGAAGAGAACAAGGGTGGAAATCAGCAAGCTTCGTGCTCACACGTCCTACACCTTTGACGTTCAGGTTTGTGCCTGCAGATGTGTTATCTTTGATTTGAAAGGAAATGCAAGTAAATGGTGATTCTTGCTGTGCAGTATAAAAAAACAACTAAGTAGTTTAAAAGCTTAAAATTCATCGTATGTTGTGAGAAACATTCCTCAAGTTTTGCTTGTTTGTGAAAAAGCTCCATGATAAGCCACTTTAAAAACAGCCTTGTTCTCGTCGGTTTTTGTTTTAAATGCAAATTGCTACCACCTATTCACTAAAATGCTCAAAGATACTAGCGCTACATAGAAAGTTGCTGACCTGCAGGCTTTTATGCAAAATCTGTGATTATATCTGCCAGCTTACAAGGTCACTGTAATGTCTGTAAAGCCTTTATTGTGATAAACATTAAATCTTCTCCCATCTGGCTCCTTTACTGTAAAAATTTTAGAGCTCAATTTTGTTTCTGAATTGTGACATCCAAGGACATCCTGAGTAAAATGATATCTTCACATATAAACATAGTTATTTGAATACTCTGATTTATGGGATTGTCCTATAAAGCAGGGTTATATGTAAACTAGTGTATTCTGAAAATATTGAATGAAATTGTTCTTATTTCCCCCACATTACACGGAAAAACCTAAGATAAATAAGTCAAAGTCTGAATTAAAATCTTATTTTTTCTTAGTTTTGGATTTACCATATTGTTTTGCGGGGGTTCGAGTCTAAACAGCAGATCCAGCGGTTATGGAAAAGCAGAAACATGAAATTAAATTAGCAGAGCCTCAAGTAAATTATCATAAATTAAAACATTAATTTGCCCTGACTAAAGCATTGGTTTCCCTGTCAGAATGATTAACTGCACACTTGGCAAACAATGTATGGCGACTGGTCTCGCCTTTGAAACCCACAGAGAATGTGGTCAGCTTGTCTTTGTCTCAGAGATAAGACATTAGATCTAAAAACAATTCACTTTTGTGACAATTTTAACAGAGTCTTCTGTCAGGCTTAAAAAACAGCTTGATTGTTTTTGGTACTGGACAGACATGTCAGTCAAAGGATTTTGCTATTCTAATGTGATGCAGTTGATGAATAATTCTGGACACAAACAGAATTTGGCTAGTGCTGTCAAGGACAAATCCAAAAATCATTCTCCTATTATACAGTGGCTATAAAAGTGTAAAGGCTTCAATTTGAGTGCCAGATTTTTAATACATGGGGGAAAAAGAGGACAATTCATAGATTTTTAAATTTATTTTATTTGAATAAATCTGAGTAGGTAGAAAATCTGTCTATCTATATATCTGTCTACATACTTAACAAGCTAGCTGTCTAGATTCATACTTAACAAGCTAGCCAGCTAGATACATAGTGGACAAGCTAGCTGACACTTGACAAGCTAGCCGGCTAAATACATACTTAACAAGCTAGCCGGCTAGATACGTACTTGACAAGCTAGCCGGCTAGATACGTACTTGACAAGCTAGCTGATTAGATACATACTGTACAAGCTAGCTGGCTAGATACTTGACAAGCCAGCTGTCTAGATACATACTTAATAAGCTGGCCGGCCAGGCACCTGCTTGTCAAGCTAGCCAGCATACTTAATAAGCTAGCCCGCTAGATACATACTTGACAAGCTAGCTGGCTAGATACATACTTGACAAGCTAGCTGGCTACATACATACTTGACAAGCTAGCTGGCTAGAAACATACTTAATAAGCTGGCCGGCCAGGCTCCTGCTTGTCAAGCTAGCTGGCTAGATACTTAACAAGCTAGCTGGCTAGCAATATAGCTAGCTGTCTAAATTAGTCTTTTTAACAATTGTTTTGTTCCAACCTTCCTAAATATCATCTATAAATCACTTCCTTTAAACATGTAATTGTGTTCTGCATTGTCTCTATTGTTTAAAAACTGACCATTGGTATTTTAACTGTGCAGGCAGTCAATGGAGTGTCCAATAAGAGTCCGTATCCTGCCCAGCAGCTGTCAATCAACATTACAACCAATCAGGCAGGTGAGTTGGAACTGAAAAAGAAAAAAAAAACTGTTGTGCATGCGTGTGTGTTTACAAGCGTCTGTGTGTGTAAGCATACCCTGGGGCACAGTGGATTAAATGCGGGAGGGATGGCTGGAGAGATAAAGGAAATTGAGCCACAGCCTTTTAATTCATAAAACATGTTACAGGTTTGTCATCTCCTACCTCCCTCTGTTCCTCCCCCTCTTCACTTCTTCCTGCACATTTGCAGCTTTAATCCTTTCTTAACTCTCCTCTTCTGCTTCTTCCTCTCTCTTCCTTTTCTGAGCTTTATCTCCCCTTACCCTGCACTCCTTCTCCTACTCAGCCTGCTGCTGTGTAATTCGAACATAACGTAACCGAGTTATTGCTCCATCGAAATCTTATGGAGACATACTTCTACTTCTACTTAAATTTAGATTTGAAAGCTACTTTTCTCTGATGGAAAATATAATTGACCTTATCCACTGTAACAGAGGCTCACTTGTAATCGAAACCTGATCCACTGCCACTCTGCCACTTTCCAACTGCATTTTCAGCTGATGTCTGATGCAAACTCCTCATACTCCTGAAATATTGTATAATACAACAATATCATCTATCATCATCGAGTTAACTACGATTGCAGGGGCTTTTTAATGTAGGCAGTAGGTTTTCAGTGTCGTTCGCAGAACTTTATGATTTGAAACTCAATGCACTTAGAAACAAAATTGTAAAGCAACGGATTGACATGAAAGACTAAGGCTTTCAAATCACAGCCCATTCATATTGTTGGACTTAAATGCACTGATACTTCTTAAATTACACCAAAATCTCTGGATTACTTAGCTTTTTAAGATGAATTATTGATTTTTCGGATACAATGGCTAAAGATGATTCACTGTAATACATGGAGAGAAAATGAAATTACTTTGATTCCTTTTTTTCCTCCTCTCTCAAATACTTTTCATTAAGGCGAACCATTGCAGTGCATTTCATTGCTATCTTCAGTAATAGCCTCCATAATTCCTTCATGTCTTCTCTTAACAAAGAACTATAGCAGAAATATGATTTAGGAAACTATCTTATTAAACATAACTAGCAGCTAAATCCTGAAGTCTATTACAGCCAAATGTCCACAGATCCTGAGATCACAGCTAAAAATGCATTTGAATATTACACTTGTTCCCACATCAATTTTATTTCACATCCACTGAAGTAGAAACCTTTTTCTTTGCAAACATTTTAAGCATTTTATCATTACATTACACTCTATTTGCATATTTATAATGTCTAAACATCCTGGTGAATCAGTAAAACTCCTAATCGGTTGGTTGTTGTTGTGTTTGTTTTATACCAGCTCCCTCTGAGGTTCCCATAATGCACCAAGTGAGCTCAACGAGCCGCAGCTTCTCTCTTTCATGGCCGCCACCCGAGCAGCCCAACGGGATCATCCTCGACTACGAGATCAGATACTACGACAAGGTAGGCTGGAATGATAAATGTGTGTGTGTGGCTGAACATTTTGGTGTTTTGTTCTCAGCCAGTAATCTGCTGGGAGTCGATAAAACAGGAAGATCAATGTGAAGTGCATTAATGTCATTTAATTAACTGTTGGTAAGTACTAGAAACTGCTTTATTTTGCAAACACCTTTGCTCACAGAGATCTGAATGCTTGTTTCCTCGTCGATGTCTTGCCATGAAGAAATTTAGATTGTCTTTTTTTTTTGTACCTCAAAATCTACAAGGAGAAAATTTTAGTGATCGTGAACTGCAGCTGTTATTACTGCACTACTTTCAACTGAGTGAGATTATTGTCTGGGATTATCTCCTCAGCATTTTTAGCAACAAAAATCACAGACTCAAGTTGATTCTTTGACATGTTTTTTTTTTTTCTGGAAAATTTCTGCTACCTTTTCCAATTTATGGGTGTATTGGCAAACTTTACGAGATATCAATATTATACATTTTACGACTTTTAAACGCAGGAACTTGTATTATTTCATGTCTAAATGAAATCTAAATTCAGCTTAACTTTTAAAGCATAAAGTACATATATTTATTGTTTGAACTGATTCTTCTTCATTGCTTGCATAAACCTCATAGCATATTTTCTGCTATTAGCATTTAAAGCTTTTTAGTTATTTTTTGATACTCCATTTTAAACTCTTACAGTAAAATCTGTTTACATTTCTAGTCTTTATAATGTTCACACTTTCAGTTCTTAAACTTTATTTTAATTTGATAAAGACATATTGTTATACTGAAAATATTAAAAGTGGTGAAATCTATTATAGATTACTGAGTGCAGAAAACTGTTTGACATCCTACAATATTCAGTATATGCATTTAAAAATATAACGAGGCTACAACACCATCAGTCTCTAAATACCAGGCTATGAAAAGTTTAATTAAAAAGAAAACCTCCAGAAGCCTCAATACAGTCTGTTTCTTCAAGCTTTGACAAGGTTGCTAATTGAATGAATTTATTGTCTACTTCAAATCAATCAAAGCAAGTGTTTTTGATTTGCTGTAAATGGATTTATAATAGCACAACGTCGTTTTGTACCTGGCAGAACTGTGCTGCTTAAAATATGGCAAACTTATTAGAGGAGGCAAATTTTAAACATTTTCTGTCGTGAATAATTAAATTAATGCTTTAAAAATCTCATGTGTATTTTAAATTTGTTCCATGTCACATAAAACACAGATGCCTCAATAGATGTTGTTAATATATTTATGCATTACGACATTTCTTAATTGTGTTGATTGCGCTTTTTAAACATTTATTTCTTTATTTTCACGTTCTCCTTCCTGTGACTTAACATGCCTGCTGCTCCAGCTGCTGATGAAAATAACCACTGCTGCGTTCGCTGGCTGACACACTTGGCATGATCATTAATTAAGGACAGCTGCTGGCGGAAAGCTGTCAACATGTTTGTGATTTGTTTAACTGTTGCATTTTCTTCCTCACTGGTGGTAGATGTCCAGTCAAGTAAATGCATCATCTTTGACAGAATCATCTTGTAATTAGTGAACATGGATTTTTAAAGTAAAAGGCAGATCGTTTGTTGTAGCCTGTGGCCACACTGACAGGGTCTCACAAAGAGTGAAAGGCTCCTTTCAACAATTAAACACAAACACACTTTTCTTAACTATTGGCTCTTGTAAACCAGCAGACATGGGAAATGTTTGGAGGTTATGGTGACATCCTTTCAGATACTGTAAAGCTGTAATAAGATACAATTAAACACTTTAATCCTTTGCTATATGGCCTTATAACAAGCTCATATTTTAATTATTTAATGCCAACAAAATATGAAGCATAATGATTAATATTTTGTGATTCACAACCTCAATTCAATGCTTCAATTCTGACCCTCCACCAAACAGCAGAACTAAGAAAAAACTAGAAACTTAAAGCTTTTCTACAGCATTCAGTACAAAAAAAATGACTTTTGTCTAGTCAAAGCAAAGGTTTGGCGGCTCTTTTTAGGAACAGTAGTTTAGCATTTGGATTTTATTTTTTAATTTGGCAAAAACAATCACTGATGTTTGGACAAATCTGTCCAATCACCAGACATTACAAGTGCTAGATATTAACCAAAGCAAAATATTATTACTCACTTCCAAACACAAAAAACCCTAAATGTCAAAAACCGACTTTATTACGAGTATGAGCCTAGCATTTAAAACGCAGGATACATTTTGTTAAAGGAAACGGTCAATGCAGGGAAATAGATGCTACATTTCCTTAAATGAGGAGTAAAATGTAGTAACTGCTGAGAAAGCAGGTGCAAAATGGCCTATAAAAATATAAATTAGTGCTTGATCAGAACAAAACTTCTGGTGATAGACTGCAACATTTTGTATTCAATTGATAGGATTATTTCCAACATGTTTTTTATAATTCATTAAAATACTTAAACATACAGATAAACAGAGGTTTGATTTGATTTATAGTAAATTGATTGGGGGAACTGAGGATCTGTTTAGAAGATTCAAGATAGATTTTAAGGTTCAATGAGTAAAAACGGTCATGTAGAGGCATTTTCATGAACTGTGACATGTGGAACAGGTTAAGTTGAAAATAATTGATGCGTAGCTCATTTGGTTCAGATGTTTCAGACTTACAACGCAAATGGAAACATTAATATTTGTTCAGACACATTGCTTTTAAAATCAATATGTATTAAATTTAGTCTTTTGTAGCTGAAATAAGAGATGTTGTAGTAAACACAACCTCAGTCGTCAATATAATTTTTAGCATCATTTTTCTTTACTTTTTTCTGGTTTCATATTTCAAATTGTGCACTGTGACCCGGTTTGTGGACAGTCCTGACTAATGCTGGCCGTCTGTTTGCTGAAGGAGATTGCCTCCCAGATTCCTCTCGCTGTGTTCATGTGTTCATTTCTGTCTGTGGACTCTGACACCTCTGGGATCACACAGATTCTCTCATCAGGGAAGGATTGAATATTTTCTTTCCAGAGCGTCTCAAACACACAAAGGGAAACTTTCCTCAACCTAAATGTGTGGATGCTGAAACCTTTCAGTTTTCTTTAAAGCCTTAATGCCATCATTATCAGACTAAATAAAAAATGTTTTTTGAAAAGTATTTTTAGGCACTTTCTTCAAAACTCAGTGGAAGTTTAGCTTTAGCTTTCATACAATGAGTTAAAAATGTCCAGATACTTTGTCGCTCCTCCCTGGGGTTTAGTCAGTTAGTCCAGTGTAGTTTTTCCTATCAGGTTTTCTTCAGGGGGTTCCTGAGGTGTTTGCAAGCCATGTTTGATATGCAGTTCCTCCAACAGGCTCTAAATCTACCCTAGAGGGTATTTTCTTTAACATGCAAACATTTTGCAGAAAATCTCCATAAAGGCCCAGAAGGTGTCCTTATCGATGCTCTCTGTAGGTATCTGAGTTTTTTTCAGTATTTAAAGGTAATGTACCAGCCTCTTAATGGAAGTTGTGTTTTTATTTGTTTGTACATGTGTGGTTAACAATGTAGCTATCAAGCTATCAATATCTGAATGCAGATGATAAATGGAGCCGCAGTTTAACCCCCGGCTTGCCTGACAGATGGAGAAATTCCCGATAATTTTGAGTCAGGCAGGAAAAAGAATGCCAGACCCGGGGCGGTGTTAAGAGCTACTAATTCAGGGGTAAAACTTGTGGAACCAGATTGCTTTCCCGTGAAAGGCTGCTGCTGCGTTTCTGTCAGGAGTAAAATTTCCTAAATGAAAGAAAATGGGATCTCTTACTAAGTCCTTGTAATTTGCTGAATGTTAAGCTGTGAGCATGAAAGGTAAGTTACTGGAGTATCTGTCACCTAAAGCAAAGACTGTTCCCTTCTTTTCTGAAGCTGAGCCCAGACCTGGAAAAACACTTCGCTGCAGATAGATGAAAAACAAAAAGCAAATCACCTACAAGGAATTGTGTAAGATACACTGAAAGGAACACGAGCCTCCTCACGACCCACTCATTTTTACTCCTAATCCACCTGTCTTTGCTCTACAAAAAGTATAATCTTTTTTTTTTTTTTTTTTTTCCTTGGTTGCAGTTGCTGGTGTACAAGATTCCCCCCCCCTCTCATTATGTACTGCAAATGTTGCCAATTGTGGCTCTTTTAGGCTCAATTTCAGCAGTTGTCTTTAATTAAAACATTCAGGCTCACTCTTGACGTCTGAGTTTATTGCAGTTTTCACAGTAAACATCCCCCAACAAGCACTGAGGAGGGGGACCCTCCCCAACTTGTTGCTGCCACAAAATGAGGATGTGACAATAATAGTGATGCAGTAATGGATTGCAGGTGTTTAACTTGAGCAGAGAGGTTATGTAAGTGGTCTGGTTGTGCTTTTATGGTGTAAAAAGAACCAATATTCTACTGGTCATCTGAAATATTACTAGAGACTGAAACTGGCCAAAATCTTTAGATCTTTTCAACCTCAAAAATGTTTGGGCAGAAACACAATATGCACAGGAAAGTGGAATGCTATAGAAATAACACAAGAATTGCCATTTAAATCAACCAAATGTTACTTTAATGCACGTTGAAACCCCGAAGAAAACATACTGCTCTGGCATGGATTTACAAAGAATCATTCATAGTTACAATAATAATGAAATTACACAGTTACATGCAGCTTTCCACTTTGGTAATAACACTGGCTTCCTTCTTTTCAAATTATTGCCTGGAAAACAGGATCCAATCAGAATTTGCCCGTGTAATAAACCCAGTTGGGGAATATTTGAATTAATTTACAGTTTTCACAAAAATCACCTCCAATATTTGTTTTTTTTTTTCACCCATATTATAGATGATTCCACCCGATCCCCATTTTCTGTGCTTTAGTAAAATGTATGGCCTGCAAATGATGGCCTAAAGTTTTTTTTTATTTAGCATTTTTCTGGCTACTTAGTACATTTGTACAAACTTCATGTAAAAATGTAGTAAAATACTTTGTGCAATCCAATAATTTAGAATCCTAACATGAAACTTCTGACATTTTTAAACAGTTTTTTGTTTTTTATCCATTAGAACTACATACTTCTCATATTCTTTGTCAGTTTTTGTCTGATCTGTTTCTGCCGAAGGTTTTTTTTAGAAGATTACTCCGATCTGATGCAAACATGTGCCACTTTTTCAGTGGGACTCTTGAGACAGAAAGAAGGAACAAATGGATCTGAAATGATTTGTACACTTTTCAGCTAATACTGGATGCTGCAGAATGTTGGTGGATGAGATCTGTTTACTGAATTCTCCAGAAAGAGGACCATATGTTTGTTTTTGAGGAGGAGAATAAAACTGAACAAGCGTTTCAGACAATTGAGCATGTTTAGTCTGGAATTCAAAAGTGTGCACTTAAATGCAAAACCAAAAGTCGTGTTGCACTGGTTAGAACTGTGATGCTTTGCAGTAATATTGGAAAACAAATTATCTTTGAAAGCTTATCCTTGAGTCCTCTATGCCAGCAAATAAGAAAAGTCTCTATTTAACTTCACAACTATCTGTTTTTCTTTTTTTGTCATTTTAGAGGGAATAAACAAAAAAAGTAAAACAAAAACTCTGTCCAGAAACTAAACGATGCATTTATAACTTCCTCACTGCAGAGTTTTCTCAGCATACAGAGATGTTAATAATTACCTCTTGAACCTTTTCCCATTTTCCCATAAATATGTATTAAGCCTCTTTTGCTCTTTTGCCCTGAAATAAAATCCAGGGAATTAGTAAGCAGATACCATCTGTGTGTAATATAATCTCAGCATAAAGGCCTCGCAGGGCTATTGGAGAACATTATTGAAAAGAAAAGTGAAGTAAGAGTAGGTCATAAAATTATATCCTAAAGCTTTGAACATATTATGGATTAGTGTTAGATTTTAGCTTGGAACAACTGCAGACCTGACCCGGCCCTCAACCTGAACTAACAGGCCCAGCTAAACGAGCAATTATGATAGAAGCACTGAAGAGTCCCGTGGTAACTCTGGAAGAGCTGCAGAAATCTCTAGCTATGGCCAGAGGACCTGCGCAAAGTCAAACTATTAATGGTGCACTTCATAAATCTGGTCTTCATTTAGAGGTTTTCCTCTAGGGAACACAGAAAAGAAAAAAAAAAGTTTATTTACTTTTTGACCTACACCTGAATCACAACCATGAAACATGGTAGTAGCAGCATCATGGTGAGGGCCACTGGAGTTGATGCAAGTCATATGGATGAAGTTGCAGTAAAAGCAGATCCTGGATGCGCTGTGTGAAATGGCATGGACCGGAACCAAACGGGATCTGAAATACCAAAACGATGTCCAAGGCTATTTGGAAACCAAAAAAAAAAGAACAATTTCATTCTGTAGATGAGGATAGCTGTTAGAAACATCCCCAAAGACCTGCATACACTGCAAATTATTCAGATTTCATTTACAGAAAATTCAAAACATCGTTTTACAATTGAATATTTATTTGTGTTCACATCATATGAGATCGAGATAAAGTAAACCAACACAAATGAGGGTTTTTTGCTGGGGTTAAAACTCAGACATTGAAATGTACCTTCACAGCAACGTTTGCAAATTCATAATTACTCGATTTCTTGTTGAAATAACAAGGACAGAGTTAAATTAAAACCAATTCTGATCAGGACCGAACAGACTCGTGTTCCTGCAGTTCGCTCCAGGAAAAGATGGAAAACGGCAGACATGATGTCGCACAACATGATGTGCTTTTAGCACTGAGGACAATTACAATGAGTGAGTGAGATATTTATTACGGCTGCAGTCAAAACTCCTACTGCGCCCTGAGTCGGCCTTATTTGCTGCTAGGTTTCCGTTAATAAAGTCTCATATTGAAGTCAATTAGGATTCTGCATTTCCCACTGTGAAGCAGTCAACCACGTAAAGACTAATTTTAGCTCATAGCTTTAAGTGAAGATGTCCTGTGGGAGCAGTTTGATAAGCCTGGTGAGAGAGGACACACAGCTGTGCTGCACCCTTTTTTCTGTCATTTTTTTCACCTTCCTCATCTCCTGCAGCTCTTCACTCCATCCTCCCTCACTCCCACTCTATAGATAATGAGTTTTAATGTAGTAAATTTGATATGGTGGAGAAAGTCAAAATTTTCCCCCAATACTTATCTCTGTCTGCCAGGCCTTCCCAGACGGCCTGCCCCCTAACCTCTTTACTCCAGTCAGCATGGAGTCGAGCTTTCCTCGCCACACACAACTCCAGAATCTGAACTCCAGCACTGATGCAACGTCTTTTCTGTGCAAAACTTACCTACTTTTTAAACTTTAAAATCATCCAAAACCCACCGCTTAATTATCAGCAACATCGTCGACTTAAATGTGCAATAACATTTTGCAAACACAACATTATATGGTCGTAATTTAGGTCAAGACAAGGAAGGAGGAAAAAGTTTGATCCCATCATGATTGGTATTTTGATACAAGAGAATGGGTTAATGACTGACATGTGGAAAATGGGTTTTCGCCATGAATATTTATGATAGAAAACTCAATCATCTTTAACCCCATGTCTTCTCCTGATAATCCCCCTTTTTCTCCCCAATCTACCAGCGATTTCCACCCACTCCTGTCCCTCCTGGGCGGTGTTCCTCATCACCACCATCATCTCTTTTCCTCTCCACTTTGCTCTGCCGTCGACCTCCCCACCCCGCCGTCCTTCATTCTCGTGCCTATACCTTCGCGCCGCCACCACAGCAGACCTTTCGTTCTGCCGCCCGCTCTTAGATTTAGCCTCTGTAAAACCTTGTTATCTGAAAGAAAATGACAGAAAATAGGAAGTCTAAAATGAGAAGAAGGGGGCATAGATGGAGGTAAAAGGTGATAGCCTTGGATTTATGAGATGGGAAAGATAATATGGAGACGAATGCAAAGGGAGAAGTCCACATGCTCGTCTTTCTCTGTGGGTAAAAGCTAATTAACTGCAATAAGCCCTTATTATATTTGCATAGAATGGAAAGATGAATGACTCAAAAGAGCAAGGAGGAAGAAAAATGGTCATCAGGAAAGGGTTTAGGTGTGTTGGAGAAATAATTGACATAAAAATGCTAATCATCCATAAGCTGAAAGACGGTGAAAATGAAATATGAACAGGGTTCTTTATGATCCATATAGATGTTGATGTCGCATCATAGCGGATTTTGTAAATGAGAAGCATTGAGAAGTCCTGAAAAAACGGAGGAAAGCAGCTCTAAATCAAAACGTCAACATATATTTCAGAATGTTTGCGCCCTGATGTTGCTGTCTACGGGTGGAAGATGCAACAGTGATGCTGCAATTTTCTCTTTTCAGTTTTCTTTCAGGCAGATGAGCAGCTGAAATAACATTCATGATGGAGGAGTTTGCCTGGTGGCATTAAGAATCAGGACTTCACTGAAGATGAACATTTTGACCTTTTAACAACAATGTGGACAACATTATGCATAGGCAACATGTGCAAAAGTGCAGCAAGTTTGTGCTTCTGCCGCTTCTATAAAACAACTTAAAATTTCATTATCTAGCCTTTATTAATGTGTTTTTGACTAAAGTAGCAGCTTTCTGACTTGCTGGTGATATTAGGGTTAAAAGTGTCTAAATGTTTGACTTTAGAGTCAGAAACTGGATACTTATTTTGCATTCTGAAGAAAGAAACATTTATAAATGTGAATGAGAGCAGCTGTTTTGGGAATATACAAGAGAAAAAATCTCAAGGTACACTAGGCAATGGTACCAGTAAAACTATTTGTGAATGGCGGCTTTACATACATTTAAAATTTATTCCTGACAAAATATGATGCGTATAAAAGTTAAAGTTGAAGATGTAAACGTGGTGAATAAAAAAACTTGATTTAATAAATTCCAACCTGGTTGGATTTATCTGTGCAAGGTGAGGGGCAACTGGTTCCCACCTGCAGTGGTCTTTGGGCGAGATGTGGGAAACGCTGTGGACCGTCACTGGGTGCATCCAAGCATGTTAATGGAAAGTCGAATGAAAGAAAAGGTTTGTCAGGAAAATGTGTGCATTCCTCGTGTTGAGCCACAGCTGAAACATCAGCAGTGATTGTTACTTAGTGATCCAGAGTCCCTTTTCTGACAAAAATATTTTCTTTTGTCAGAAAAAATTGGACAAGAATTCCAGAAAATGTCGGTTTGGCGCGCCACCGACAACCTTCTGTCGACTTCAGGAAACGCAACACGATCATTATCCTCTACATAAATAATGTCTGTGTTGAGACGGTGCATTCATTTAAGTTCCTTGATGTTCACATCTCTGACTGTCACGCCCTGGAGATTCTTAAAAAGGTACAACAGCAGCTCCATTTCCTGAGAATCATCTGGAAAAATGATCTGAATCAAAGCTGCTGAAGCCGACGGTGGAGTTTACTCTGGTGTATTTAATTTCTGTTTGGAGAGAGTAATTAAGACGTGGATGTCTTTTCCCTTCTCTGTTGAACAATTGCTGGCAGTTTTTAGGTCTCACAAGAGCTGAAAACATCACTAAGGATGTTACACATACCGGTGACCAAATGTTTGATCTAGATCTATTTAATCAAGACTCACTAAGAGCTTTTTCCTATTTACAATATCTATTTTAACTAACCTTCTCCTTCTATTTTATTCTGTGATTGTATTTTGTTTTAAATGTATTTTATCTCATAATGTCTTTTCAATCTTACTGCACTTATTGCATTTTTAAATTTATTTGTGCTGCTTCAATCAATCAATTAATCGCTTATTTGTTTAGCACATTTCAGCAACAAGGCAGTTTAAAGTGCATTACATCACAAAAACACAAAGATAAAAAGCCATTAAATTCACACACACATCAATACATCACTCTAAATTTAACTTTTTGTTAATATTGGAATTTATTGTGATGCACCTGCAGTGATTGTCAAGGTAAAGTTTAGTATATCAGCATCTTGCTCTGCCTCTTCTGCAGTTCCAGTCGTCGTTGCTGAACAGTTCAGTGGTCCAGAGCGATACACCCAACGTGGTCCTGGAGGGCCTGAGGCCCGGCACCGGCTACGTGGTCCAGGTGAGGGCCCGCACCGTGGCAGGCTACGGAGCCTACAGCAAAGAGATGCTCTTCCAGACCCTCACAGACGGTAAGAGCGTGGGTGGCTGGCTGGACTGTGTGGAGATGTGAGTGGAGGTTTTCTGCTGGAGAGGAAACGGGTTGAGAGAGTGCAAAAGGTTGTAAAGTGCAAACCTGGCTGTGAGGCAATTCATTCTGCCTGCATATTGAGTGCAGTCATGTAAAATGAGTGTTATTTTTTTGGAATTATGGAAGATTTTAGCTGTATAGCATGTATTCACTTTAGGATAGGCATGTGTGTGTGTGTGTGTGTGTGTGTGTGTGTGTGAAAGACAAAAATATATAAAAAACAGATATCCCTATCTCAGCATTGCTAAATTATGTGTGTGTGTGTGTGTGCCTCTGCAGATGAGTACAAGTCAGAGCTTGGACAGCAGCTCTACCTGACTGCAAGTTCTTTAGTAGGCGGAGTGTGTATCGTCTCTTTGGTAGCTCTGGCTATCGTATGTACCAGGTAACACACAGCAGACACACAAATAAACACATTTACGCTGCAAAAAACTAAAATCTTACCAAGTATTTATTTTGGCAAGTTTCTAGTGGAAATATCTTAGAAAACTTGAAATAAGACAAAAGACATTTTAGGAGGTAAATCATTTTGTACTGCTTTGTTGCTTAAATGTGCTAAACAAATAAAATATTTGAAGATATTTTAAAATATTCTTTTAAGTCAATATTTCCTTAATATTGTTCCATTGGCAGATTATTTCACTTATGGGGAAAATGTGTGCCTAAGGAACTAATACTTTTTCATCAGTATAAAGGAATTATTGACTTAATAAAACATTTCTCGCTGAAAAGTTGCTTGTAAGATTGTTTTCAAGTTTTCTTAGATATTTACACTAGAAACTTGACAAAAATACATTTATATTAAGTCTTCATTCAACTGCTCCAGCAGCTCTATTGATCTTCCTTTGAATATCAGGATATGGTTTTCAGGTCAGGTGTTTTTATTACAAGATGGTTTCAAAGTGCAGAGAAGTCTTGAACTTGAGTCGTATGGTAAATGGTTAAAGGTTTTATATAAAACAACTCAGTTTAGTATTCCATATAGATTAAAAGAAAAAAAAAATTCAAACAAGCAAAACAAGAGCAGCACATCTGGAGATAAAATGGGAAAAAGGTTTGACAGGTGGAAGTTGTCATTTCAGTTTTTAACCAAACTGACTTTTTTTATTTCTTGATGCTTTGTTCTTTTGACAATAATATAAAAAGACACTTTTTTCCAAAGATGTGTGTTTTTGGTTGTAATACAATAAAACTTTTTTTTATTTTTTTTATTGTATTGTCTACTCTGGGCAGGGTAAAACTGAATTAGGCCATTTAATGCTAAACACAAATTCTTGGAAATATTATGTTAGAGTGATTATATCTCAAAGCACCTTCCACTTTTTCATTTTACTTTCATAATATATGCAAGATAAAGATTTCTCCATTAATGTGCCACTCCTCTAGAAGTTTAGGCCTTTGAGATCTGAGCCAATATTTTCTTTCTTTCCATAACCAGGTGTGCGCCTGCGTTTAATCTCTCCCAGCAGACCTGTTCTCAGGGGAGGCATTATTTTCCAGGTTGTCCCATTTCTAGTTAACTTTCAGGCTTCTCTGACCAAACTTATCTGGTTTTGCTCTCCCCATATCTGTCCTCTTCAAATTTCACCAGCTGTTGCTAGTTATTGGATGCTTAGCCACAGATTATATCTGCTGATCTTGTCTGGCCAGTGGGCATTAGGGATTCATCTCACATAAATGTTCCTGAAGGTTTGCTCTCGCTGATTGTTGACTGTGTTGTTGGACTCAGTAGCCTAAAAGCTAAATCAATTTCACAACAAAGACCAAGATTTATGTTCATTTGCGCTGCTCTATTTACGTGTGTGCCAAATGTTATGACCCTATAAAATGGTTTTCCTGGCCAACATCTGAATTTCTAGCTCCCTGTTTGCAGTAATGTAATGTCTTAAATTATAGATATGTTCTCAGGGTTACTGAAAATCTGGAGCTCATATATTCAATTCACTCACAAAGTGATATCATTTAAGCTTTTGTTTCTTTTTAATTTTGATGAGTAAAAACATAACATTTGGTTTCTTAGAAAACATTGGAAGAAAATTATTTTCATTGCATGAATATTTAATTCTTGATGTCTTGTCTAGAAAATCATAAGGAAACTGTGGTCAGGGTATGAAAGACCGTTACACAACACGCTGGTTGTTTGTGCACTGATGTGTCAAGATGGAAGACACTGACACACCAACTGTGTTTCCGTTAAACATAAAAGTTTGTAATAAATTTGCTCAGTGGAAACAAGGCAACTTCCAAAATATTCACGTTTGTTAGGTAAAAAGTTTTTACGCCGGGATGACGGGGTTTTTGGGCTGCACCAAAGTAGATTTAATGGAAACGCATGATGTTATGCAGAAAATGCTGAAATATTGATATGATTACATCCGCCGCTGACATGATTTTTAATGACTTATCATATGAACAAACTTATTCAAATGTGATTTCAATTTTATTTTTTTATTTTATGGAAACACTGCAATTGCATAATTGTGTTTTTTCAACATTAGCGGGATATCAACAGAAAGGAAACGGCTACAAGTGTATTAATGCATGCATATAATGAAAGAACATGAAGTATTCTCTGATTGGTCTCACATGCTATAGTCATTTCCTAATAAATTGAATTTTGGGTTTTCATTATCCATAAGCAGTCATTGTCAAAATTAACAAAAATAACAACTTGAACTACAATTTATCCCTTTTAGATTTCAACTATTTATTGAGGTTCTCCTTTATTGTGGGTCTTGTTAAGATCTAGTGGCATATGGAGATTCTGCGGGACGTTTCTGCACTTGTTCCGTTTGCAGGGGAAAGCAGGAAAATGAGTGCTGATGACACAGAGCAGTAACAATCCTTCAATCCTAACTGGTTCTAGACAGACTGTTTCGGCAGCAGATTTTTTAACAGGATAACTATTTTACTTCAACCCAGTTTGAGAGAAAATTGCCAATTTGCATTTTACTCCTGCAACATTTAGAGCTGCTCTGTAAAATGTATGTGCTCTTGCGACTTCTCCCCCTGAAGCTTTGTCTGTCTTTTTTTCCCTCTGACTGTAGGAGGAGACATTTGAAGGAGAGTGTGTACGGCGACAAGCTGCAGCAGTACAACACAGGAGGAGGTAGACACACAATCTATATTTTATTAGTGTAAAAATAATTAAAAACTCCTGGATTCTTTTCATAAAAAAGTTTATTTGTGAACTTTCTTTACAGAAGTGACTCTGAGGCCAGACATGTTTAGCGGTCCCACCCCCACTGTGACTTTTCCCACCCTGTCTGAGGGTCGCAGTTCACCAGGGGTCAAGATCTATATTGACCCCTTTACCTATGAAGACCCCAACGAGGCAGTGCGGGAATTTGCCAAAGAAATCGACCCCTCTTGTGTCAAAATAGAGGAAGTCATCGGATCAGGTAGAGATTTTCATAGGTTTAGTCCTTTTGAACTGTTGCTTAATTCATTTTTTCTCTAAGCTTTTGTTTTTTTTTAAAAGAAAATTAAAATTAAACTCTCATCCCACCTTAAGTTTTTTTATGTTTAGATTAAGATGTAAAGAAAATGTTTACTTTGGTTTAATTGTGATTCCAACTCTCAAACCAGATAAAACAACGGTGCCACATTTCAGTGTCGATGAGAAATATCTGGAATCATGCAATGCCAATTTGTCATTTTGCTTTATTATTTTTTCCTTTGAAGTCAGCATGTTTTATTCATGCTGAAAGCTTTCACAGGAATAAATTAAAACGGTCTTCTTGCATTTTCTTGTGAGCTCTGTAGAAATGCTGTGTGATGTTTGGCAAAGGAAGAACGATGGTCACGAAAATTCAGCAGAAGTTATTGTTTTGATGCTGTAATCTCTGGATTTAATGGAGGAAATTGTAAAATGTGTCAAACAACATCTTGGTGAGAGACCTTCATCAGCCAAACATATTCTGATGATTAGAAATAATCAGTCGGCTTTGTAGACATTCATCACACAGGGTGTTGATTTGAATGTTTACCTGTTTCTGTAGAAACTGACTGCGCTGGTTTTGTTGTGCATTATTTTTGATGTCTTAATTGGATCAGTCACTTAACATCATACTGGAATTTGATTTTTAATTTTGTATAAACACCCATTAAATGTAATATTTTTAAAAGAAGCTCATAGAGCATTTTTTACTATATAACTTTTAACATATTTGAGCAACACGATAATTTTGAACGATTTGACTCAAACAAAAAGAATCAGATTGCTGAAAGAAATGAATGAATCTTTTTGTTTCACCATAATATTTTGCTATAAGCTTATAAACAATTATATTTCCATAAATATTTATTCAATTAAGTATGATTTGAAGGAATGATTAGCCCCAGTTTCATGGATAACATTATTTTTAAAGGAGGGTATTGTGAATTTTTATATGATTTATTGCACAATAAAATACCATCAGATGTCATGAAAATGCTGTATATATTAAAAACCACCTAATAGAAATTTGACTTCCTATCTGATGCCTTGAAACTGGCCTCTGTCTCTTTAAGAACCTCCCACTATTTCTGCCCACATAAATGCTTCTACCTGCCGTCCATTGCTGCCGTTTACAACCGTTCCTTGAGTTCAGCAGATGCATAGTTCCACCAGGTGTTTGCTCATTTCTGCTGCCGCTAGTCTAGGGGAGCTGCGTGGTAAGGCAGAACTTTGGGTAAAGAGGTAGACCATAATATGTCTGAGCGTTAAGGCACCCATGAATGGCTGCCATGGGAGTCAAAGCACCGCGCTCAGTATATTTTTGATGAGGGAATTACATTCTTACATTTTGCATTATTGCATTATAACTCTCCATGAAAAGTACATTCCAGCCATACACCCTTGTCTCTTAGTGGGTCGGGAGGTGCTGGTGCCTCTCCAGCTAATGTCACCCTGGGCAGGTCGCCAGTCTGTCGCAGGAAAAGTACATTCAATTTCTTTAATTATTTCAGTTGTGTATAAGCTGCAGATATTGCTCCAGCCCTCGTTGAAGTCTAAATGTTTCACTTCTAACAAGATTGATTTAGTTTTCATCTTTTTTCTAGATTTTAAAGATGAGTCCAACCTCTGTAGTGCTTTACCAGTCCTTCTCATTGAGAGTTCATGGGCATGTGGTATTTCGTATAATTGAATCTTATTTAGTGATTTAAATAGTTCAAAGATCAGCATTATAAAGAACCATGTGACGGGGATTGTGAACGTGTGAGGGTCGCCGTGTGAATGCTGATACCTCTCTGCTATAATCTGTAACTCGTTTAGATGCCATTACCTTTTATTTTATGGGATAATATTTTTCTTTTACTGCAACTCGGACCAGGTTGAGAAATGTTTTTCCTTCAGATGGTCTGCTCCTGATAACTCATAACTTATTTAACACAGGACCAAAAACCAATCACACCCAAAGAGCCCACTGAGCCCTAGGTGTTAAAGGTCATGAACCAGGTCCAGACCCTCAACACTGCAACTATGTGCTTTGGCCTTTGGTCTGTTGAACCACTTTGAGGGGCTTTTAGTAATCCCTCCGTTTGGTGCTTTATTACTCTCAGGGAAGGGTTTCTCATTCCAGCCAGGAGTGATGGAGAAGGGATGAAAATGACAGGGAGGGAGGGGGAAGCACAGGGACAGGTGAAATGAGATGTGGTCAGACTTTGAGTCCGTCAGCAGCTCCATAACTCACTTTTCACATTGTTTCACTCTTGTTTTCCTCCTCTGTACTCCTTTGATACTTTATCCGATCTTCAACGCTTTCTGTGATTTAGACCCTCTGGAGTTTTAGTTTGTTTTTGTTCAGACAAATCCTGAACAATGAACCATGGAAGGAAAAGCAGAATAACAGATTGGGAAGTGAAGATAAAAGAAGAAGAGAGAGCCCTACGGAGATAATAAAAATATCCCACATGACTCCCTTATTCCCTTCCTTTGAGATAACGCTCTCCTTCCATTACTATCACTCAGCCTGTAGGAAATGTCCTTCACAAAAACCACTTTGCTTGACTGGAGAAATGTCGTGAAACGCATTATGTTTATAATATGACAGACTGAGACATCTCATCTAACAGTCCTTTACTAACAGAGTGTTGATTGAACCTAGATTTATGGAGCATCCTCTCTCATTCCCATCCCATCTTCTTTCCATTCTTCCTTCTGTGCTTGTTCTGGTTTACAGCACTGACACAAGATAGTTTTTAATGAGCGATGATATGTGGAGCACAGATCAGTGTGAGACTCAACGGCACGGCCCTGTCATCCAATTCCCATCTCTCATCTATTATTCACGCAACAATTTTTTATCTGTGCAGCAACGACTTTTATTTTGAAGTTAATTCAATTCTCATGTACCCCATCATCATGTCTGTGCGTTTATTTTGACAAAAGATGTCTGTGCCTTTGCAGAATGAAAATAGTCTGGTTGCTGAGGTTGGAGCTAGTTTTTAGTTACATGTAGCAGACCAGGTAAGTTTATCAGGTGATGGATTATAAAAGTTAGAATTAGTTCAGCTTCTTGTGAGGGATTGCTTCTTGACACTAATTTGATCAGTTTTTGGGGATCAACTTAAAGAATGGGGTTCAATTTTCATTGTTTGTTTGATACTTCTGGAAAATTCAGATTATTATTATTTTTCTCCCAGGTTGTATTTGGAACAGAGCTTGTGCTAAACTTTTTTTGCGACGTTATTTTGACTATTGGGGTTAAAAGCATCCCGCTATAATGTATTTTTACCCATCGATATTTAAAATAACAATGACATTCAGTGGTATTTAATTTTTTAAAATTAATTTTAACCAATATTCAACCCAAACAAGCTAAACAGGGAATCAATATTGTGCGATTTCACACCAAGCAGATGAATTTATGTAATTTTTTCTCAACAGTCACAAAATCCACTGACTTTCTCCCTGTAACTACATATAAGCAATGAAAATAAACAATTGTACTTAAAGTATGAACGATTCTATAGCCAGAATGCACAATCTTGGGTTCAGGGACAGACTTGTATCTAAGATTTGCTTGCACTGTGATGAATAAGTATTCCCTCTTTAAAGCTTTCTTTTACTTTGCTTTTATTCAAACAATTCAAAGTTTCAATTAAGTTTATTTGTTTCAGCAACAAGAGAATACATCATAAAAACAAAACAAAACAAAAAAGTCACAGATTGTGAAGCCAGTAACAAATTTTGCATTTTGTCATCAAATTCATCAATACACATCAAAATATTGGTCAGTGTTATAGGAGTAACTAAGTAGGTGGGATTTTAGTCCAGATTTAAAGGAACTCAGTGTTTCGGCTGTTTTGCAGTTTTCTGGAAGATTGTTCCAGATTCGTGGTACATAGAAGCTGAACGCTGCTTCTCCATGTTTGGTTCTGGGGATCCAAAGACTCGAACTCAAACCTAAGCATTTCAGAACAAACTAAGTTTTCAAATTATGCTATCATGTATAAAGAAACAAACAGAAACTGTTAGGGAAGTAACACAATTACAGTTTGGAATGCACTTCAGTTTAAAGTTTATATACAAATCCTAATTTGACCCCCAGGAGAAGGGCATTGCCTTTAATTTGAGTCTTTGGAGATTTTCATTGTTATCATGTTTTGTTCATTCGTGGGAGTCTTATTTAACTAGCTGCAATTTATCCTGGTAAGAGTCTCTAACTCCTACACATTGAACCTTTAACTATTATCTTTTTGAAACTTACAAATAAAAAGCTCAGTAATAACAGAGATCCCCACTCAGTCAACGAATATAGCAAGATGTTCACAAAAGATTGAAACCTATGAACCCCGTGATTCAGCGCGCTCTCTTGATCCATTAAGCTTTGTTTAATCAAGAGATTACGAGATGTGTCATGCAAAGCTATGTGTCTAAGCAGTAATAATAGCACAATCCTTTTTATCTTGTTCACACATCGAAAACACAACCTTTCCTCACCCCAGAGAGCAGCAATAAATGGGATTCGTTTGTTTGTTGCACTTTTAAGCCACACACACAAAAAACATTGCCCTTCAGTCTCTGTTTGCTCTGCTGGAACTGCTTGGAGTCCATCAGAATGAAGGGAGTGTGAAGCATCAGAGCGTTACCACAATTAAAACACACCAACTCAGCTGCTGTAAAAACAGTAGGAATATAATTATTCTTCTCCATGCTCATTTATAGTTGATAATAAGTTACAAACTGAAAATTTTGCTAATGATGAATTCCTTCCAGCCTTCTGGAATCTCATGTAGAATTAGTTCTTTACCTTTTTGTGTTTTGCCGTCAAACCTTTTGCTCTACTGTCGTTTTTTGTCATTTTTAAGGTGAGTTTGGGGAGGTGTACAAAGGTCGCTTGAAACCTCTTGGGAAAAAAGAAATCCCCGTAGCGATCAAGACCCTTAAGGTGGGGTACTCTGAGCGTCAGAGGAGAGACTTTTTGGCCGAGGCGTCGATCATGGGCCAGTTCGACCAGCCGAACATCATCAGACTGGAGGGCGTGGTCACGAAGAGCAGACCGACGATGATCATCACAGAGTTCATGGAGAACGGCGCACTGGACTCATTCCTGAGGGTAAGAATCATTCTGCCAGCAGATCACTGTTTACAGGGGTCCTCTGGTTATCAACTCAGTACTTTTATTCTAGGTCAGATTTATGTAGGGCTGAAACGATTAAGCTGACTAATTGTGATTAATCAATTATAGAAATCGTCGTCAACTAATTTAATGATTCTTTAATTGTTAACTAAAACAAAAATGCCAATGGCTTAAAAATTCAACATGTTCAGAGCAGTAATTAGACCAAAACTATACAAACACAATATGTTGCATTTCAGATAAAAACAACCTTTGTCCATAAATAGACTCCAGCCAAAACTCCTCCAGTCACCTCACCTGACTCAAATTTGCTAAAAGAATGCTGTTATTGCATTTTAAGCAAAAATTTTTTCAGTTTTATAAGGAACTGAATTATTTGTTTAATTGCATTTTTAATGTATTTCTGATATCGTGTAAAAAAGGCTTAAGTGGTAAAATGAAACATTTTCTTTATCCGATTGTCAGAATAATCAGTTGATTAATCGATAACTGAAATAATTTAGTTGCAGCCCTAGTTTTACGTAGGCACATTGAATAAGTAAATGTGCATGTGGAGTATTTATGTACATGCTGTACTGTTAGGACAAACTGCCAGTGGAGGGGAGGATTGCGAGCTTCAAAAATGACACGTAAGAGGAGACAGAAACGGCCTCCTGTCCTTCCTTTTTTAGCTTTTGCTCTTTTCCTTCCTGCACTCTTCCCTCATCCTGCCAGCCTGTCCATGTCTTTGATCCCGGCCTCCTTTTGAGGTGCTGCTAAAAACAGAAAGAGAAAACTCTTTGATGCCCAGTTCTCACAGCGCGACCCCATTTGACTCAGAAACCATCAGATGACTCGCGCGCGCACACACACACAGACACACACACACACAGTGATCGCAGTGATCGATCCTGGCGGTGTTGCTGTCCTGGCGTGACCGTCCTGAAGGGACCGGACCTGCGGCGCCTGTGCGGCTTGTTTGTGTGCACCTAGAAGAAGGTTTTTCCCTGCGGAGGATTAGGCCAGGGGAGCATCAAAGGCACAGTTTGCTGCACAAAATGAATTAAAAGACACACACAGCAGACTGCAACTATGTCAGTCGGGGGCTTCGCTAAGGTTTAAAAGACATGGAGGAAAGAAACTGAGATGTGAAAAAGGGGGGAAAAAAAATAAAAAATCCAAAGTCCTTTTTAAAGTTGGCAAGTGCAGCATATCCTACAGTACAAACTGAATACTGTAAACATGTTTCACAAATTGACCGAGATTTATCTGTATTAATCGGTTAATGGAAGGATTATAAACATGGCTATGAATGTCTGTGAAGATGTCAGGCTGTCCCACGGGGGCTGCGTGCGCCGTCAGCCCACTTCACCTAAAGGCAGATTGTTAGCAAATGTCCTCTTTAAAACGGAGGAATCATAAGCCAGTCTGAGGCATTTATCTGTGCACAGGAAAACAAACAAACAAACCAAAAAAAAATGTGTTTGTTTTGATTGAAAACCCATTAATTCTGGGATATTATCACAGATTAATCCACTCTCCTAGAAAGGTTTAGTGCCGGGCTGGAATATGTTTATCACTTAAAAATAGGCTCATTATCTTCTTACTACAGCCACAAACTCAAACATGTCTGCATTTTAGATCAACACAAAGATTCTCGGTTTTGTTCTGGACTTTGACTATGCCTTTCCTGCAGTGTTTATTTATCTATCATTCCATTATAACTGTGCCTTGCTGGTTTTCCTCCAGAATGACTATAATTAGCTTTGTACATCTTCCCTCTGCAGTAAAGCATCTCCTCACCATGATGTTGCTTCCATTATGTCTCAGTATGGAGACGGTGTGCTAAGTTATTTTTATACATTGGGATTGCATATAGGCCAAATTTTGCCCCAAAGCACCTTCTTCAAACACAAGTTGCCGTTTCCTCTGCATGGCTCCTGGCAAACTTTAAGTGGAACTTCTTATAGCTTTCTTCCAACAATTACTTATTTTTTGTTGCTCTTTCATAAAGGATAAATTTACTGTGTGCACAATTAATAGCTGATCTGTCGACAGATTCTCCCACCTGAGCTCTGGTTCTTCTCTGACTATGTTTTAGTCGATTAGATAAATTACCAATAAATTAAAGATTGGACTTGTGGTTTTTCATTCAATTAAATGTTTAAACATTTTTCTTAATTCTAAAGAGAAACTAAATAATTTGGCAAAAGCTACTAGGATTAAGAGCTACAAATATATTTGCAAACCTTTTATTCCTGAAGCGGTCAGACTTCTCAACTGCAGCGGTTTGATGTTTTATGGAGGAATAATCCATGCAGGTTTGCTTTTAGGAGCGTTTGGCTTAACTTTCACTGCATATTATCAGACTTCTAATTTTACTGGACAGTTGCTGATGATGAAAACTTAAAGTTACTGCAATATTTTGTTTCCAATTACTCATTTTCTTTCAAACTGTGCTAGATTTATGTCAAGGATAACTTACATCTTGTTAGCTAAGTAAAACGTTTCTGCTCAACAGCATCTTAATTCAAGATGGTTTGTGACTGAACAAGGATTTTGTGTAACAACATTTTACTGAAAGTTACTACAGATTATTAGTGCTATTGTAGATCAAAGTAGAAAACTTGTGGCCAATTTCCACCAAAAAACAAGAAACAAATCTTGAATATTCTCTTATGAATGTATGTATTTTTTTCCCTCACTGTCCCTGGTCTTTCACGAGACCAGATGCACCACTTAAATGTTGGAAAGTATACAGGACTAATAAATTTACCAATTCAGTCTTAAATGACTTCTGCCATTTTTATTACAAATTTATGATTTCATAATCTCTGTAAATCTTACTTTTTTTTCATGCAATTTTCTGGCATTACAATGACGGAGAACAGTTTAATCTTATAAATTTATGCCTTATAAAAAACATTACAGTAAAAATGATTTCATATTTACTATGAAATCAAAAAGAAAATAAAAATCATGGTCATTTTTAATTTATCAGGAATTATCCATCTGCCGTTTGGCAAAACAAATCTGTGTCAGTTTTGAATTGCACTTGGGACCACACAGAATCCCTCAAGGGGGCTCAAATGGCCCCTGGACCACATTTTGGACACACCTGGTTAAAGGGTGGAGATATTAATTCAAGATGAGTGTCAGTGTATTCCAAAAAAAAAAAAAAAATTAGTGATTATTTTTCATTTATTTTATCAAGATTTATACTCTTCTTTGCTTTGAAAATGTATGTCATGTGCACTTTATAATACTGTTGTGTCCTGTCAACTTCAAAAGTTTAAATAAATGCTGTTGAGAAATATTTTTGGAAAAAAAGAATCCAGTCATGTGCTTCTGTGTTTTAGCAAAACGACGGTCAGTTCCCAGTAATCCAGCTGGTCGGCATGCTGAGAGGCATCGCATCTGGAATGAGGTGCCGACACACACACACACACTCACACAAACACACACTAATCCATTTTATTACAAAGATAAACAGGAAACCTTCTCTGATCCTTCAGTGATTGATTTCCTTATGCAGAACGGCGCACACTTAAACTCCTCTACCTGCTGTAATGTAAGCCCAGGTATTTTACTAGCAGCGTTACAACTTGGCAGCTTGAGATCTCACATCCCAGCCTGCAGTAAAACACAGATAGTCTGAGTTTTACTGCAGGCTGTGAGCACGCAAACATACAGAAATATTAAATCTCATTCCGATTTTATCGGAGGCGGCTCACACACGAGCACGGAAACGCACAAAGGCACAAACACACACTCTAAATTCCATTAGTGCACCAAAGCTTGCAACAGATAACACACATTGAGTCAATAAATCCTGTTGATGTTGCAGGTACCTGGCGGAGATGAGCTATGTTCACCGGGACTTAGCAGCGCGAAACATTCTGGTGAACAGCAACCTGGTGTGTAAGGTATCCGACTTCGGCTTATCGCGTTATTTGGAGGAGGACACCTCTGACCCCACCTACACCAGCTCTCTGGTAAGGAGGAAAAAGCTTCTCTGTAATAATTTCTTGTGTATAATTTCCTTCAACAGATTGTATTTCAAACACAGGAATCCAGCATGTTGTTATATTACATCCTTTAATCGTAGATTTCCGTCAGCAGTCTGAAAAGAGAAGCTTTTGTGTGACCAATACTTTGTTTTTATTAGAAAAGATTGGAAAACGTATGTTCAAATTTTTTGAGTTTTGTGTGCTTTTTCTTTACTTCATTACTTCTAAAAAACAGGGAAAATGAATGTAATTAGCTCTTCTGATGCAATCAATATGCAGTTTCTTTCTTTTTTTTTACACTTCCATGTCTTGCACTATTCTGATGCCCTTCCTATGACCTTTTTCTATACTTTGTTCTACCTAAGCTGAATTCCTAAGTATGACAAATTCCCTCAATGCAGCCTTTCTTTTTTCGCTGTCATCTTTTATCTCTGCCTTTTGTCTTCATTTTTTTTCTCACTCTTTTTTCCCTCAGGGGGGTAAAATCCCAGTGAGGTGGACGGCTCCAGAGGCGATCGCCTACAGGAAATTCACTTCTGCTTCAGATGTGTGGAGTTACGGGATCGTCACCTGGGAGGTGATGTCGTACGGAGAGAGACCTTACTGGGACATGAGCAACCAAGATGTAAGTCACCACCTGGTTACCTGTCTGTCTGACTGTCTGCTGCTCTGATGTCTGCGGCTGTTTGGTGTTTTCGGAGGCTGCGCTTGTTTGTTTTTCCTTGCCGTCTCTCCCAGCAGGGAGTCGGTACGTCTGAGGAAAACATGCGGAAAATGAGGACATCAATTCATGTGTCACATGTGTTTTTCTTCCCTGAGCATTAGTCCAAAGGTATCAGGATTGTGCTTTCAAGCAGATGTTTACTGCAGGCGATACTTTATTGTAGTGACAGCTTTATTCCAATTACCTTCACAGTATGATCAATTTGCCGCAGCATTTCTTTACCTTTTTTTTTTTTAATTTGCATCGCATTGATTCTATTAAGTTCTCTGAGATTACATTGGTCCTGCTGTGATTTAGGCTAGAAATAATCACCAGGTTTATAAAAGAGGACATTCCCATTTCTCTGCTGTTTTTCTGTCGGCTATAATTTAGAAGAGAGAACTATTCCCCAGCTTTCCCTGAGTTCTCCATTTTGCTCTTGGAACCGAAAGAAAATGGAGTTCAGAACGAGAAGTTCTAAAAGATTGGATCACAGACATTTTCATTTTTGGGGGATTTTATTCTGAGGATATTATATCAAACTGAGATTATAGTTTGTTTTGGCTCTAAAGCCTACTTCAAAGTACCAAAGCTCTAAATCACATGTGTCAAACTCAAGGCCCGCGGGCCACACGTGGCCCGCCATGTCATTTTATGTGGCCCC